TTTAGTGCTCTGTTCAAGACTAACACTTGGTTAAAGTCAAATGTGCAAACACTTAAGTGAAAAATGTTAAAAATAAATACATGACTTCAGCATAGATGATACAGTTCTTTCATTGATCAACAAATATTTAGTTTCCTAGAGTTTATTGGTGTTGACCTATGGAAAGTAGAGTAACAAAAGAAATAATACGAACTATTTTACGACATAATGTTATGCCCCGATAAGAATAATGAGTGGTAATTTTTGGGATCCATTTGTGGACCAATACTACACGTATAATTTTATCATATAATTGTTAATTAACTAAACTATTCATATTCATGTCTCTCTTATCATATGCTTTATTTTAACCTATGAACTGTTATTATACGATTTTCCATTCTTGAATTATCCTCTGTTTATTAATCACTACCTCCCTCGTTCACAGCCACATCTGGCCAAATTTTGTACAAATGTTATTTTCTATTTTATGGTACGTTGTGGTCTGCATGTTTGGTGTATAAACCGAGTATGTTTGAAATACATGATTCATATCGCAGGGGCTGAGATTGATGTTCTGGACTTAACTGGCTGGGCTAGACAGGAAGCGAGACCAGTCAGGACTCTAGGCTTCTCGTACGGGTTTTACGCGTCACTGATGCGATCGATAAGTCACCGCTCCCTAATCGGCGGTCAAAAGTTATAACACATAACATTCTTACGAATAACCTATCGATATAAATGATGACTCATCTACATTATTCTAAAACATTTTTAGATAGAATAAAAATATCAGTTATCTGTACTACTGATGATTCTATAGTGATATAATTATGGCGTAATTCTTTATTTGTGTTACTAACCACAGGACACCGCATTTCGTGAACTCACAGAAGAGTTAGGATTACATTTGTATGGGGAAGAAAAGAATGTAATGAATGAATGTACTATTAAACCACTTTGTGCATGGGAAGCTTCCTATCCTTCTCGTTTAGATACAGCAATCGGAAAGTCTACTATCTTTCCTAAATCTCATCATATGGTTATATATTACTCTGTTAATTGGTTTCGTTCTTCAACGTAAGAATTATGATTTTCAGCTTTTTACTTTTCTATAGTGCATTTTGTTTACTATTCAGATACGTGCGTATGTTTTTTCCCTGCCGTGATTTTAAATTTTAGGTAACTTTAAAGTGCATACTTCCCTTCCTACCCAGTATTGGAATGCCATGCGAATTCTGGATAATTGACATATGTTTAGATATTTTCGATCCCTGTCAGCAACAAATGACATCAAATCTCTGACAGGTACGACTAGTCAAAATTCTCAATTCTGGGCACTAACCTTCTAAAAAATAATTCGTATTAATGATCTAAACGACCATTATTATTATTGATCACAAAGGTCTGTTATAAATCGAATGTGCAAGTAGTAGACTACATACAGTGTTGATCATTATGATGGAGTGCTATGAAGATCGTTTAAATTGAAGTCTCACTCTATATAATTGTTGACAACCAGATGAACAACAGTTGCTTGTAAACCAATGATTGAAATATTTATCCAATATGGTGAATCGTGTAAATTGGGGAACTTGACTTTTTATAAGTATAAAACTCGGTTATCATAAATGCGTTTCAACGTAGTCATTCAGTCAGCTACAAAGTAGGAACAGGCACGTACATGCATCTGTCCAAGTTGCCACACCTCATTAGCACAACAAGATGAACACCAATGACATGGAAGCAGTTACTTCAATGGTAGTAAAAAGATATTTCATATGAGGATAATAATACAGAAAGAAAGAATTAGATCGTAGAAATCAAGGTATAAAGTAATTTTAATCTCACAGTTTAAGGGAAGACAAAGTGTATACACCGATGCCATTGTGGTCGATTTTCAGCCATGTCATCCAGAGTCTCCAATCACTGGTTACGGTAGTGGCACAGACCCCAACCAAGTAGTCTGCATCTACGAACATGGCTCAGGTCAGAAGCTAGTGGCTTTACAGACTGATGCCACGTTTTGATTCGGCCGCCCCTAGCTTCCTTCCCACCGTCCCCAACACTAGTCAGTACTACGCGTCGTGGTAATCGGTGTTCAGACATACGTAACATGTGGCACAACTATCTCAGTCTATACAGATTCACAACCTCATCAACTGATTTACCAGCATTCCCAAGTACCCTTCGTCTAACCTCACTATTACTTACCTGTTGATCGCAGCAGATGCGAGCAACATCTGTGACCAGATACCAGTAACTTACGAGTATCTTCTACCCTTAATGGCCGCGTTTCGCAGCCGTAAATTAAAAGAGAACGAAATGCTACGCAGTATACTCGTCCCTTAGTTGATAGGATTACGTTTAACTCCCACATTTTAGCTAAAATATTAGTCAGTCTGATCGCTAAAATTGGACCACCATCTTTAAAGACCTCTGGAGCCAATCCGTCTGGACCAGCTGTTATTCCTCGTTTCAGATTAGCTATAGCCTTTTGAATTTCAGCTAGAGTCGGGGGACCTACTTCAGTGTTCCATTCAGGCTGTCTGGGAATAGTGGGTATTTGTTGAGTAGCTGAAGGCCACCTGAACTGCTCCTCCAATCGTTCTAAACGTCTGGGCTGAGAGCAGATGTGTCGTTTTTTCCGAGATAGTCCCAATTACACTCGATTCGAATATGTCTTAATGTGCTTTTTCGGCATCCATTGAGGTACAAGCAATTGTGTGCTCGTATTAGAGCATGATCAGAGTCTAAACTTGTACTACAGAACGAGAGTTAGTATTCTTATCGAGCCTCTCTAACGATGGCTGATGGCAATATGGTCTATTTTAGTCTATCGTTGGTTGGGTGAAGGGGGTTGTCATGTTAGGTGATATCTCTCCTTATGCTTACAATTAGTGCCTGCTGTAAATAAAATTAAAAACTACAAACCAGTTGGGTTTCTCAAGTCAGTAGATAATCTAATAAGCTTGTTACCTGGTAGCGACATCCTATAGTACCCAAATGCCCTGGTATGGCCGAGAGTGAGGTGGGTTCGCCCTCCCTCTCTCACACGGCCATGCGTATACAGCCTCTGCCAGGGAAGTCCTACTCACTGCCTTCTCGTGGCGGGGGTGTTGTTTACGAAAATGATAGGACGAAAGGCGAATGTCCGGCGCTATAACCGGATCCTAAATCAATGGTGCACATGGGCTCCAGTATCCTGCGGGAACAAATGGCGTATGAACCGATTTCTTGGTCACCGGCTTCCATGGGACTGCATCTCCTCACGATGCTCCACTGCCTTGTGAACCATACCTTTAGGTCAAAGGCACCCGAGCAGTATCTCAGCCCACACACTAAAACATGATGAACTATTTACTTATGGAAAATATTCTTTTCGCTCCGATTAACAATGAAATGACTCGCACTATTATTATTATTATTATTATTATTATTATTATTATTATTTACTGCGTCATTTACTCACTCTCTTATTCCCACTTTATGTATCCTTTTCGGCTTAGACAGCAGCTCGCCTGTGGTGGAAATTCGGCTCCATCTAAACGTTCTTGAGTCACTGCCTGGTTGAAAATTGTATTTTACCACCGAATACGAGTACTGAAGCAGTTTTTCTGAAACCACGTGCACCATTCAAACTGGTTGCCTTCAACTTTCGCACACATATGCAGGTCGGACAACAGATAGGGCTGGCTATGTCTTTGGAAAGTCTTAATATTGACGTGTGTTGTCTATCCGAGATCCGTATTCAAGACTCTGGTGAAGTACTACAAGTTCGCTCTCCATCTGTCACTTCAAAAAGTTTCTTTTATGTGCGTTTATCCGGGGACCCTGTGGCATCTTCGTCTGGTCTTGCTGGCGTTCGTATCGCACTAAGCGCTAGAGCTGAGGCAGCACTAGTCGACTGGATCCCCATTAACAGTCGGTTATGTGCTGTTAGATTAGAAAGTTACATCAAAGTGAGAAGAGATCGGCGTGAGAAACGATGTCTTTTCGTCATCTCCGACTATGTCACGACAGATTGCAGCCCGAATGCAATCAAAGATGAATTCTATCGCCAGTTAACTGTTCTTCTCCTGAAAGTGCATTCGACAGGTATTGTAGTGTTAGCCAGAGACTTGAATGCTCAGGTCGGGAGTCTCCTGACCGTTGTTGCTACCTTGACGTGGTAGTCGGGCTTGCCCATCGTGATGAAGCAACTGAGCTATACGGGCTGGAACAACCGTTCCTCAAGGTCCTACCATGCCAGACATGTCGTGTGTGACCGACCTCAAGCAGCTGTCCCTTGGGCACTGCGGTCACGCTCTCAGGTCACTATGACCAACTCTAATCCAATTTCCTTTTCAGGTACCTCCAGCAGTACCATTCCACGGTGTGGGCAACCGGGAAGTGATAACCGCCCTCATACCTCTAACAGCACTCAAGACCACTGTATTCATAATCAACCTACCTCTTCAATTCCTATTATTCCTCTTACATCGACTTTCAAATCTAAACTCCCTCTTTCGGCTTCCTCCTCAAGTGTCACCACAGCCAACGATTCTAGTGCGCAAAACACTATCCCAGGTCTACTGAAACCTCGCTCCAAACTACACATTGGAGCCTTCAACGTACGCACACTATGCTAAATCGGTCAGCAGGCTTCCTTGGCTAAAACCTTAGAATCTCGTAACATTGATGTATGCTGTGTCTAAGGAATGATCGTGAGCAGTGGTGGGCAACGAAAGCAAAAGAGATAGAAAAGGCGGCGGCTATAGGGAACACAAGACAACTCTACAGACTAATAAAAGAAACTGGAATTAATAAATCAAGTGTAAGTCAGACTATTTCGGAAAAAGACGACACTCTCATCTGCTCCCAGTCCAGACGTTTAGAACGATGGGCGGAACATTTTAAGGAGCAATTTAGCTGGCATCCAGCTACTCTAGAACTACCTTCTATTCCCAGACAGTGTGAATGGAACATTGAAGTAGGTCCCCCAACTCTAGCTGAAGTTCAAAAGGCTATAGCTAATCTGAAACGAGGAAGGGCAGCTGGTCCAGACGGATTGGCCCCAGAGGTCTTTAAGGATGGTGGTCTAGTCTTAGCGATTAGGTTGACTAATATTTTAGCTAAAATCTGGGAGTTAGACGTCATCCCATCTAACTGGTCACAATCACTTATCGTCCCAATATTTAAGAAAGGATCAAAATCATCCTGTGACAACCATAGGGGGATTAGTTTAACTAATATAATATCTAAAATACTAGCTTCGATAATTTTCGGACGCCTAACTAAGACTCGTGAGCTGCAAACACGTGAAAATCAGGCTGGCTTCAGACCTGGTCGTGGCTGCATCGACCACATATTCACCATTCGTCAGGTTCTAGAACATAGGCATACTTATCGGCGTTCGACAGTGGTGGTCTTCCTTGACTTAAAAGCAGCGTTTGACTCTGTTGACCGTGAGGTTCTGTGGCAGTGTCTGTCATTGAAAGGCGTACCACAGAAGTACATAAACCTTGTGAAGGCTCTTTACTCGAACACTACTAGTCGAGTGAGAGCTTATGGCGAACTGTCATCTGCTTTCGCAACCTCAAGTGGCGTCCGCCAAGGCTGTCCACTTTCTCCATTTTTGTTTAACTTCATCATAGATCTACTGATGGAAATAACGCTCTCATCGACTGAATTCTCGGGTATTGATCTCCTACCAGGAGGTCCACTTATTGACTTAGAATACGCAGATGACATAGTCCTGTTTGGTGAAGACGCTGATGAAATGCAGAGTCTTTTGGTAGCACTGAGCAACAATGCCAGAATGTTTGAGATGCGCTTCTCTCCCTCCAAATGCAAGTTGTTGCTTCAGGACTGGTCTGCGTCAACACCTGAACTAAGGATAGGGGGTGAAGTAGTCGAACGCGTCGACAACTTCACTTATCTTGGAAGTCTGATCAGCCGTAATGGGTTGGTGTCTGACGAAATCTCAGCACGGATTCGAAAAGCTCGCTTGGCCTTTGCCAACTTACGTCATCTATGGCGAAGGCGAGATATCCGTCTATCAATTAAGGGACGAGTATACTGCGCGGCAGTTCGTTCCG